TTACTATTGCTGCCTCTCCTTGTGTTTCAGCTGAAGGGCTAAAATACAAGTTACATAGCGCACCGTCTTTCGGATGAGACGTTAAGCCGTTGGTCCCGTGTGCATTTATGGCCCATGTGCACGTTAAAGAATGTAGTACACTCTTCGGAAAAGAGTAGGGGATTGTCTCCCGGTGTACTGCCCAATCACCACCAGAAGGACCCATTGGAAGAAGTCTTCTTCCAGACTTTTGTGGGTTATCCTTGGTGTTTACACCAAATAAATCCAATCCAATTATTATTGACTGACGATAAAACTATGTTTTCTCAAGGCAAATTTAATATTCTTTATGCCATAGTCAGCCTCATTAATGGTTTAACAGTTGATTTCAAAAAAGGCAATAGTCAAGTTCACTTGTCCTTTTCAGTTTCTGTAACAATAATCAAAATATGGCATCTTCAATGTACTAATAAATTAATGAATATTAAAATTAAACAGATTGATTGGTGATGGAATATCCAGACATTCAGCAAATGTCCAATTTCAGCCTTGCACAGAATATAAACAACATGAGAGCAGCTTTATAGTCAGCTAAACTTGTGGTAGCCACTGTGTGTGCTGAACCGTGGAAATCTCATGGTCCCCGGTTCAATTCCCATCGCTGCTCTCTGTGTATTTTAGCTGGAGGACTGAAATGCAACTTACGATAGCGCACTATCTTTTTTTTTTTATTTTTTTATTTATTAGACTTCACACAAGCAAAAATACAATAAAATATCAATGAAATAAAAGATTGCCAGTGACAGGAAAAGGCCAACAGTTGAACAAATCACACCTCTGATAGCGGCCAATCCCAAATTGCACAGCCAGATTTAAAATCAAGTATATAAAAATTTTAAATTGAAAACTTAAAAATGTAACATTTAGATATTGGTCGTGTGTGCATTATGGCCCATGTGCTCGCTTTTAGAAAAATCATTGACAAATTGATCAGACGTTTAATGTTTGTTTAAAACATATAAGCAACAAGTAAAATACTCAACTATGTTTTGATATAATCATAATTAATTATATTCAACAAATTAAACATATTTCTACATTTTCACATTACAATTTCTACACAACTTTTTGAAGGATGAAGGTATCATAATTATACCGTAAATTATATTACAATAAATATTTAATACAGTATATATAAATTTGATGATTATTTTTCAGATTGTCATTTAGTTCTGTCTCCTGCTTCATCAATGTACTGCTTGAATGATGCCTGTTCATCGTACGAGCAAAGTTGTTTACACCAAGCTCCCCAACACAACATCAATACTCAACGAGTGACAACATCTCCATCCTATCAAGGCCAAGCCTGTCCACCATCACCTTTCAATATGACAGTAAAGTAAATGTTTTAAGTCAATAATTTCTTCTTTTTTTTTTCTAATTTTTACAAAACTTTTTACATACTTTGTTAAAAGCATGGCTCATCATTCTCTATCTAGAGAATTATAATATTTCTTATATTTAATTTAATATTTTCATATTTATAATAGAACCCATTTAATATTAAGCTACAGGTTCTTTCACAGGCCTCAGATATATAAGTTTTTAAATTTATTTATTTGATCTAAATACCATAAAACCTCAAATTGAAGCCCTGGGCTTCTTCTTTTTTTTTTTTTTTTTTTCACAAACTTTTGATGGGCTTTTTTTCGAAGCTAGTTTTGCAAAGTAAAGATGGGGCTTCTTTTCAAAATGAACACTGTAAGTTTTGGGAATTATTCCTATATGACCATAAATAAGGCCACTGTAACATCCATCTGTATCATGGAGTGTTCCAGCATTAAATCACTTAAACTACTGTATAAACCAAACGTCTTTATAATTTAATTTATTTGAAATTCATGCACAGTGTATGTGCTGTACTATCTGTACTATCTCACATTTTGTGTTGCCAATAGGAACGGAGAGATCATGTGGTATCGTGACGTATTACACTGTAGTACTCTATTTGAACTATTTTTTTAATTATTGTACCACAAGACTCATTTTGTCACGACAGCTCACATATTCTTTGCTGTTTAATCAACACAAAATATTTTACTATAATTTTGGTAAAAAGTAACTAAATTAGTAAAGTGGAGTGATTTCAATTTGTATCTAATTGGAAAAAATGAACATTTATAGTTAAATGCAATTCTTTGTTTTTATTTAACACATTTTTAGCCATGTACAGAAAAAAACAAGTGACATATGCTTTAATATGGGTCATTATGACATCACATTATGACCATATATAGGCACATCATGATAATGGCACATCATGACTATATGGGCACATCATGACTATACATAGGCACATCATGACTATATATAGGCACATCATGACTATATATGGGCAAATATGATACAGCAGTTGTTTGTCAAAGGAAATTTGATAGGGTGGCCAGAGCTGATATATAATACTATAAGCTAAATTGCCACCGATTATTTCCACCAAGCAGTACTAGGTAAAGACAAACTTAGCTTGCTTTGAACAATATCACATATTTTTGGGTTCACGCAAGGAGCTGACCCCAGAGCCCCACTGCTGTTCTTGTTCTTGTTACCAACGCAAAACTCCAAAAGCGTCCAGCATCGCCAGTTACGAAATGAACTTGCAGGAAATTTTGTACACATAAAACTAAAGGTGATTTCCAACAAACAGTCCTCGCCCGTTTTTTAAGTTGGACCCCAGGGTTCCCACTACGCCTACAAAACAAGACAGGAGTTAAATAGGGCACATCGCATGGATGGCTCAGTCGGTTATTAAGGATGTGTTCTAAAGAACCTAAGGTTGTGAGTTCGAAATGCATCTTGGTATTCTATTATAATTTTTTTTCCAATTTTAGGAATTTTTTTTTTTTTTTCCAATTTTAATATATTTAGATTTTATATAAATGAACATTCTAAATAATATATTTTTTTTGTACAAATGAACATTCTAATTATTTAAAAATTTCAATCTTATTAGCTCTTCCAAAAAACCCAATGTAATAATTTGCACCTAGTACCGTACTGAAGCGTAGAGGAATATGCGGACCGGTGAGCAGTCTTGTTCAATTTCTGTTTTCCATATTTTTATTAGCATTAGAGGGAGCAGAGTTGAATAGCGTAATATGCTTGCTTTCCAATCCCAACGTCCTGGGTTCAATTTCTGTCAACTGTAACAGGACTTGTTCTTATGACTGAAATAATTCCACTCCCATAAGCCTTATAATGAGACTATAGTCTTATGAACAGTTATGTGTATGTTTGTCTTGTGATGGGATTGCCACTTTGAAGAGTGATTAAGTTCACTGTTTGGCATATCCTTGGCCCTAGTGCCTAAATTTGAATAATTTGAAAAATAAAAAGTTTACTAGTGCTTCCATTATTCCACTCTTAATTCATTCTAAATGGAGATTTCACAATAGTAACTACACGAGCAGAAACATTTGTATGTTGTTGTGGGGGATTTGCTTTTTCATTAACGCTTTCATTTTCTAAGGGACAAATTCACAATATTAACTAACATGGGCAGAGACATTTTTATGTTGTTGGGGAGATTTTTTTTCTCAATAGTAATGCTTAATGAGTTTTATTGTAAATTTCACCTTGTACTTTTTAAATTTAAACAGATTAAATTTTTGTCTTAATATACACTCATGGCATAAAAATGAAGAAGTTTAAAAATCTACAATTGCAAATTCGATAACTAATTTAATGTTTTGGCCCTGTTGTAGTGTACCTAAATATTTTTCATTTCTTTTTGTAATTTACTGTGAGGATTTCATCTGTTTTATTATGTTTTGATTTTGTATGTGAATGCACTATGCATGTGCGTGTTCCATCGATATAAAGTGTTTGTTTATTAATAATAATTATTATTATGTATTGTACAATTTTTGTTTTTTTCTGATAGTCCACGTAATTCGTAACGCTTACACTTCAAATCAGATGTTTTTAAAATCAATTTTTACTGAATATGGTCTGAATTTCCCAGAAGGTATAAATGATAATAAAGTATTTATCTCTTCATGTTTATTTATCTCTTTCCTGATAAGAATTTTTTTCTGGCCGTTGCTCAAACTTAGACCATGCTTAGACTGTGAAGTATAGATCCCTACTTATTGTGTACTATGGGTCGCGACACAATTTTGGGTCACAAAAGCATTTTTTATGGTCGCAAGCCTGCTTCTGACTCAGTAAAGCATATTTCGAAACATAGTAAAAAATACTTCTACACAGCCGTAATACAAATGAATTAAATTAACCCAGAGGTAGCTTTGTCAACCCAAATCCTAGAAGAACCTACGCCCATTGTTGTACCATCTCCAATCTCAGGGATTGATAAGGTCATTAAACTGAATTTGGAGAGAACATTTCACTAATAACAAGACGGACCAGTCAACAAGTAATAGTTGCATCGTGTTAAAAATGGGTTAATTCTATTCTTTTTTTTAATTTGTTGGGGACGTGCAAGCTTCACTTATTTTCTCAATTTCTCTTTACCCAGTTCACCTCACCTAATTCGTCATTGTGTTATTGAACTTCTGCGTTAATAAGCATTTCAAAATTACGAGTGTAGTAAATAGGCCTATAGGCAACAATATAAAATGGAACATTCTCCACATGATCAACGGTAACAAATGCCTTGTGTACTTTGCTAGTAAATATAAATCAAAACGTTTTGTCACAGTCTATTTCACATACCCGAGGTTGACTATCGAAATAAAATAGCATATTTTTATTGTTAAGAGGCAAGTGGTTCAGCCATCAAATTATACTATCATAGATTTTCCATAAAAAAAAAAAATAAATAATTAAAAAAAATAATAAAACACCAAAAAAAAAAAACCCCAAAAAACAAACGAATACAAGGTACTGTATATCTCAGAAAACAGAAGCATTATGATTTCATTTGGCCCTTTTAAAACCCTGACTTAAATTTTATTCTTTTTTTTTTCCACAATTTTAATCTATTTATGTTCTTGTTTAATGTTGTTTCCTTTCCTTTTCATCCTGTACACTGGGTAAAATAATGCATAGAGTTTAGACTATTATTGAGGTAGTGGCTAGTAATAGGCCTAAAGTTGATCTGAACCAAAATTCTGACCGCAATTCCGATGAGCTGAACACCAGCGTCCCCATTCTTACACACTAAGCTACATTTAAAGTACACTTCACACTATAAATTGGTTCAGTTCATAATCTCTGTGAATGCAGTAGTAGAGTATGTGTATCAGGCAGTTTTCCTGATGGCTATCCAATTAAATGTGGTGTTCCTCCCCAGGGATCAGTTGCAGGTTCGCAAATTAATGCCTATTTAAAGCCGGTGACTCATATTTTTAAGCACTTTGGTGTTTTGTATCATATCTATGCTGATGACACACAATTGTACGTTAGTTATCACTTAAAAGTACCTGGTGAATGCTGGAAAATAAGTTGAAGCTTAAGAATCGCACTCCAATGTACAGCTTCTTCAAAAACATCAAAATCGTGACGCAAGGCTGGTTTATCGGCGCGCAAAAAAAATTTGCCATTGCTATGAGAACTTTACCGGTTGCCAGTCCAGCAGAGAATAGACTTTAATACTGCATGTGTACAATAGTGTTCATGTAATAGGCCCAACATATTTTATTCAAAATATGCTTAAAAAGTTTCTGCCTGGTCGTTTAGGTCTGAGGTCCTCTGATGATCCCCTACGACTTGTAGTTCCCATTACAAAAAGAGATTTTAGTGAAAGTGCTTTTTCTGTGATTGGTCCAAAGTTATGGAATTATTTCCCCTATGAGATCCGCCAATCTTGTGAGTGCAATTTTTTAAAACACTTACTAACACATGCATTAAATAGATTCCTATTTTGAAATTAGCATTAAAGGATATGTTTTTAATATTACTATTATTATCCTTATTTTTATTTATTTTTTAAATAATTATATTATATTAATGTTTTATAAGCCAGATTTTTTTTATTCTCAAAAGTAGATTCTTATTTTCAAATGAGCATTAAATGGATATTATTCTTAAATTACTGTTATTCTTTATTTTTAAATTTTTAAATCTTCTAAACCGTATTTAAAAGAAACAATCTGATTGAATGAGCAATACAGAAAGCTGTGTGGGTAAATATAGCACATGGTTTTTTGATCAGATTTAACCAGCAGTGCCTGACACTACTCTCTTAATAGAGAAGTTTACAAAGCTTGCATTCCATTTTGTTTGTTTATATATCTTTTTTAAATTATTTTGTATTTTAATTTATAAATAAACATGAAAATGAACATGGGAAAAAAATGTGTAAAAAATCTGAAACATTATAATGGCAAAAAACAGATATAGTAAAGATGAAGTAGCACACTGCATAGTACAAACATTGAACAATTTCTCTATATTATTTGCATCTACTTTAGTTCTAAAGCAGTGGGGAAGGGTCACCTGACTATTGACCTTCAACCTGATGGTGAACGGACTCAAAATGAGGTTGAAAGAATGGATGTGTGGGATTAGGTCTGTGAAACACAATTGAAGCCATGGAAATGTCTGAGCAGTGTCTGTAAGTTACCTTTAAGTGAGTCATTCTTGTGTTCATGTTAATTTTGTGATCCGAACAAAAGGCATTAATGTTGTTGAAAATTTACAGATGCATGAACCAATTGTCTAGCTGTGACTGGCTGTAATATTACAGCATGTTTTATACTTCAGACAGCCTGATACTGAATACACAATCATCAATACAATTATCATCAGCATCATCTTCATCAATATCACCATCAATAAGGCCAGGCTCCAGGTGAACAACACAATTGATAAGTTGTACAACTGATTTTTTTCAGACTCAAAAAGGCTGTTTAACGAAAACCATCGGAACAGTTAATGAGACACATTTTTGAATATTTAAAAACTGAGAAAAAAAGAAAGCTATATAATTTCATATCCTCCAGAGCCTGCAGCTTAAACATAATCATAATCTTATCATAATCATCATTTTTAAACCTAATATTTTATTATTATTCTACCTTGATCTATATTAATATTGAGACGTATTAAGCCCTTAGGCTTGTGTGTCCCTCTGTACATGACAATCCTCGAATCGGTCGCAGGTGGTGTACTTCAACGGGTGACGACGCCAATGCACTTCCAATCGAGATTTGAATATATTCATTGTGTCAGACTCAATAATATTCTTATTCAGATTGTTCTATAGATTAACAATGTAAATTTAAAAAAAATAATTTCTGATGGACTTTTAGTTCAGCAAAGCCTTTTACCAACTTCAATTTATGACCTTTTGTCCTCGAACTTTCTGCTACCTTAAAAAATTGGGTACTTTCAATATCATCATATTCTTTAAATAACCTGAAAACTTGAATTAATGCAGAACTCATTCTTCTAAAACAGCGTTCCGCTAACTTTTTACTTCACGGCCTATTTACGATTCCAGGCACCAAGCCGCGGCCCAGCAGCCCAGCTGCGCCAGGGACCAACATACAAAATCTTGGCAAGAAATTTTGATCATGAAGCCTCCATGTATATACAATATTTTGACATCATTACCTGTTTTCTCAGTGATAAAATTTTATTGTATACAAATTAAATATTATTTTATTAAATAAATAATACTGTACATTTGTGTACAATCTTAAATTTTACATTTTAATCAGCAATATATCAGAAATACTGGGATTGGTTTAAGCCTTCAGAACCCCTGCAATACTAAAACTGGGATCCAACAGGCAGTGAATGTTCCATTTTGATTTAGTGTAGCTATTTTTTACATATTTTAAATTTTATTTGAATTCTTTTTATTTTGTATGATTCATATGTTATATTTTCCACAGACAGATAAATGAATGCCTGAACTGATATTTTATGGGTTTCAGATTTTACTTGCTATACAAAACAGATAACATAAATCATGTATAATTGTCCGACTGTGTGCATTGAACATTTGACAACGACGATAATGTCTCCAAATTCCCAACCGTAACTTAGGCTACAGGCCTCGTTTGACACTTCACATCAAAGGGCCTGTTAATTAATCTTGCACAGCTTCTTCCTCATTATTATCATCTTCTTCATCATCATAATTATTAATTGTCCATAGCAAAGTAGGGAAAAACTACGAATTCAGAGTGTATGACGTCTCATAATGCACGAAGTGTAATTCAAATAATCATCTAGAAAACAAAACCTTTTTAAATATCTAAAATTTATCTTCCAGCGACAAAACAATCTAGCTCTCTTTTCATGACTCTCCCAATATGGGAACCTATCTGTGCGAAAGCCAGGGTAAAATCTGGATCTGCGCTTGACATGTATTTAATGCTTAAAAAAGGTATATTTACAGTATATTTATTTATAGAAAATAATGTTGCATTCTAGAACTATCAGGAATAAATATACAGATAAAGGCTCCCGAGGGGGCATAGACACAAAAACCGCTTATAACTCAAATAACACGCATCATCTGGCACTTCAGCACCGTGTGCAAGCGACGCATTCACTGTAACAATGAAGCGGCTTTATTAAAAACTATTTTCTACGTGATAAAACGTCTCTTTGTTATATTTTTCAATTTCCAGACGGACCATAGTTTGCGGAACGTCATTCTAAAATGTAGGGTTGGAATATTTAAAGTGCGTAGACGTGATCCCTAGCTGTTGAATCGAATCTCCCGAATCATTCGCGTCGCTCGTTGCTGGACTTTTTCCAATTTATGAAAAATATGTTGCCACACAGGACTACAATATTCTAGGGAAGGTCTGATTATCACTTTGTAAAGATGATCAAAGGATTTCCTATCCAAGTATTGAAAAGAACGTTTTAACAAAGGGTTGGCAGTAGTATATTAATATCTATATTAGATAGGTGCTAAGTAGTTGTTATCAATTTATAATTTTAAGTAGACAGTTCATAATTTATAAGTAGGTTTGTGTCTAGCTATTTAAGAAGATACTATGTAGGCCCAATAATTAGATAAAATTAACATATTATTAGCAGATTCTAAGTAGGTTTTGTCTATATATTAAGGTGACTGATGGAAAAATTTGTACTTTATCAATAGACCACTGATAGGTAGATGGTAATATAGTTTATTAGTAGTTATTGTTAATGAAAACCTCCGCGAAATATGCTAATGAAGCGAAAAAACTACTAAAATCTACTGAAAACCTACCTATTAGTAGGCGTTTAATAATCAATAGGGCTAAATCTGCTAAGTGCCATATGGCTAAAAATGAGTAATGTCTACTAAGGAATTTTGGTATAGGGGAGTGCAATCGCTTGCCTCAAATCACAAGTCCAGCACCTAAAAACTTTGTTAAACCAGATTTATATTTTAAACTATCAATTTTTATCAACTATCCAAAAAACTACATCCATCCTCATTAACACAGTTAGTCAATGAAGACTTGATTTTGTCTTGATAGAATATGTTGCGCAGGTTACAGAAGTACATGATAATAAACAGGAATTAGAGTATGGCATGGTATGTCTTCACAAATATGATGAGAAAGCAACTATCTTTATTGTAAAAAGTTGCAATGATAATTATAGTGTAGTTAGCAAATCACAAATAGTGCAGTCGTTACCATTTGTGTTCATGGACAAATCTGGTGTCATTTCTCAGAGACCATTGAAAAATGCAAGGTAAAACTAACATAAATAAGAATGATGCTAGTTATATTGTTTACAATTTCACTTTGCAATACCAGGTGAGATTTTTATTTGAACTATGATCAACAAACTTCATGTCATTCTGTTACCGTCACTCCGTTACTGGAAGGATGCATTATGTCATGTCATTTATATATATCAACCACTTTTCAAATCAAAGGTATCTCAATAAAGGTTTATGAATACTGAAATTGTAATTATCCTTAGAAACTCATGTAAAGAATTTGTAGAGCTTTGGCAATATCTATTTTGGTAGAAAACCATGTCCATTTTGCATCACTCTGTTAATGAATTACGATTATTCATATTTCATAATTCTGATGGATAATTTTTGTAAGGTACATATTTTTATAAATATAGTAGTAGTAGTAATAGACACTTGGTAAGGTGTTTGTTGGGTGAGAATATATTTTCTGTGCTACATCTGTTTAAAAGTTTAAATTATTGTATTGGAAATGTTGTTTAATAATTGTTTCCGTGACAGGAATTGAACCCATGACCCTGGGATAGCAAAGCAAGTATCTTTCTACCAAGATTTCCAGGTTCACTAATTATTTATTATTAATGATGATAATAATAATCTTGGAGTCGATTTTGATGTCATTTGTTGTGAACAATTTAATGTGGCTAAGATTTCATTTTTAGTATATGCATTCTCTGTGTGAGGTCTTATTAGCGACAAGCAAAAAAACAGTCATCATAGATTTGAAGAAGCAAATTCTAGACCTGATTTCTAACTAGCAATTAATTTAGATTCACTATACCCTTTCATTACCATTATTATTATTGTCATATAATAACATATTTGTTCTTTACAGCTTACTTCTGGTGAGTCCATTAATGATGTTGAAGAAACAAACAGGTAAAAGACAGAGTATACGACAGATTAATGATAATTCATTATTTTCTTTTTATTTTACTAATACATGCATTATTAGATTCTTGTTTTGAAATAAGTATTAACGGATATTATTTTAATATTATTACTATTTTTATTTAATTGTTTTAAAATAATATTATATTAATGTTTTCAGTTACTGATTGTTTATTCCCAAAATTTATCATAATAATTTTAATTATTTATTTTGTTGAATAGTGGTTTGGGAGACAAGGCCTGTAGCCATTGTGTGATGACAGGATGTGTGGCCTGTAGATCTGAAGATTCTCTCCACAGCCATGTAATGCACAGTGACAGGTATGGTACCCCTCAAATTATCAATATTTGACCTCTACTTATGCATAGCGCCAAAGAAGTGTGTGTGACATCAAATAAAAAAAGAAAGTTCATGGTGGTTCGTTCTCATATCATCATATATCATTGATTTTGCCTTAACATAAAATGCAATGCAGAAATACAAGAAGTACAGTAAAGCTGCGAGGCAGGTTTGCTGAAATGATATAAAATAAATAACAGTCAGTCTTTTAAACTATGTATTTAAGGGAAAGCAGTCTAACTTTAAACAAGGAACACAATGAACTTGTTCCATTTATTGTTTGTTTATATCTTGTTTCACAATTCTAATTTTATTATTTTTAAATGACACCAAAATTATATTTCTTAAATGCCGAAATATTATATTGCAAAATATTTTGGTATAACGATAACGATGCATGTATTACTGCACAACAGACAAAGCCCACCTGGCTATTGACCTTTAACCTGATGGTGAACTTACTCAAACTGAGTTGGTGGGATAGAGTGAAACAGAATTATAAGCCATGGAAACGTGCGGACAGCTGCATGTACGTTACCTTGAAGTGAGTCATTCTTGTGTTCATGTTAATTTTGCAAGCCGAACAAAATGCAATAATGTTGTTGAAAATTCACAGATCCAGAACAAAATGTCCTGTGACTGGCTGTAATATACAGCATGTTTATTCTTCAGACATAACCTGATACTGAATACATAATAATCAATACAATTATCATCAGGATTATTCTCATCATCTTTTTTATCATCATAAGGAGCCTGCCTTTAGCATAATCATCCTCATCTTTATCATCATTATTATACTTATAACCAATATCATCATTATTTTTATCATTATAATCATTATTTTTTTTGTTTAACATATCCTCAGTACAGGTCATCAAATGTTTAAATAGTTAAGCTCTGTCCAGGTTATTGAAAAATTATCTGTTGTCATGATGTGATGATGATGATAATAATAATAATAATAATAATAATAATAGTAATAATAATAATAATAATAATAATAATAATTATAATAATAATAATAATAATTATAATCATCATTTTAATACCAGTAACATTTTTATCATTTTTTTATTTAACGTCAGATCAGTACGTATCAGCAAAATTTTAATTAAGTGGTTAGATTATTAATAATACAAATAAAATGCTAAGGATTTATATATCGCCAAATCCAAACCAGTGGTCACAGACGCTGTGCACCCCGTCTTGATTAATTATGATTTAATTATTTTTGAATTAGATGCTCGGTACTCAACGTCAGTGATGCAGACTGTGACCATCATTGGAAGAGCAGCAGTCCTGTAATAATCCAAATGGGTAACACTTGGCTGGCTGGGGGTCATGACCCCACTACATAACTAAAAAGACAAATCAAATGAAGCTTAGTCACACACCGGGTTGGAAACAATGTTTACAAGGGCACCCTCAGCCATCAAAGTCTGTTACAGAAAGGTAAATGTCATTTAGTCTTTATAAATTGCACAGATGGAAATTTTATTTAAAATGATGATTATTTTTCAGATCGTCATTTAGTTCCATCTCCTGCTTCATCAATGTACTCCTTGAATGATGTCTGTTCATCGTACGAGCAAAGTTGTTTACACCAAGCTCCCCAACACAACATCAATACTCAACGAGTGACAACATCTCCATCCTGTCAAGGCCAAGCCTGTCCACCATCACCTGTCAATATGACAGTAAAGTAAATGTTTTAGGTCAATAATTTCTTCTTTTTTTTTCTAATTTTTACGAAATCTTTTACATACTTTGTTAAAAGCGTGGCTCATCATTCCCTATCTAGAGAATTATAACATTTATTATGTTTAAGTTAATATTTTCATATTTATAATAGAACCCATTTAATATTAAGCTACAGTTCTTTCACAGGCCTCAGATATTTAAGTTTTTAAGTTTATTTATTTGATCTAAATACCATAAAACCTCAATTTTAAGCCCTGGGCTTCTTTCGAGATGGGTTTCTTTTCGAGGCTACTTTTGCAAACTAAAGAGGGGGCTTCAATCTGAGATGGGCTTCTTCTCAAGATTAAGCCCATTAGGAGATTTTGTGGTATATCAAATTTTGCTGGTAATCAATACAAAATATTTTACTATAATTTTTGGTAAAAAAGTAACTAAATCAGCAAATTTGTATCTCATTGGAAAAAATGAGCATTTATTATGCAATTCTTTGTTTTTATTTAACATAATTTTAACATATATAAGCACGTCATGACTATGTACACATCATGACTATAATTGGGCATATCATGACTATATGGGCACATCATGACTATATGTGGGCACATCATGACTATATGGGCACATCATGACTATATATGGGCACATCATGACTATGGGCATACAACAATGTTTTGTCAAATGAAATTTGATAGTGTGTGAGGTAAATTGCCACCGATTATTACAATTATTACAACCAAGCAGTACTTGGTAAAGACAAACTTGATGTCTTGCTTTGAACAATATCACATATTTTTGGATCCACACAAGGCACTGACCTCAGAGCATCACTGCTGTTCTTGTTCTTGTACTTGTTACCAACGCAAAAAAATAAAAACGTCCAGCGTCGCTAGTTTTGAATGAACGTGCAGGAAATTTTGTACACAAACTAAAGGTGATTTCCAAAAAAAAAAAAAAAAAACGGTCATCGCTCTTTTTTTAAGTTGGACCTCGGGGTTCGATCCCACACACTTACAAAACAAAATAGGGGTTTGTGCAGGGACTGTACATTACTGCCATTACCAGTAATAGTGCACGATGCATGGATGGCTCGGTGGGTTTTTAAGGATGTGTTCTAATGAACTTATGTTGTGAGTTTGAATTGCATCTTGATATTCAGTTATAATTTTTTCCAATTTTAAGAAATTTTATTTTTTTCAATTTCAAAAATATTTTGATTTTGTATTAATTAAACATTCTAAATAATATTTTTTTTTGTTATTAGCTCTTCAAAAAAATCCCCCAATGTAATAACTTGAGCGTGGAGGAATGTGTGGACGAGTGAGCAGTTGCTGTTGTATATTGTTGGTTGTTTTATTGTTGTTTATTTGTATGTTGTTGGGAAAGATTTATTTTTTTTCTATAGTAATGCTTTAATGAGTTTTGACAGTTCTTGTAAATTTTACCTTATACTTTCTAAATTTAAACAGATTAAATTTTTTGTGTATTTTGATCATGGCATAAATAGGAAGAATTTGAAAAATCTACAATTGCAAATTCGATGACTAATTTGTTGTTTTGGCCCTATTGTAGATTACCTAAATATATTTCATTTCTTTTTGTAATTTACTGTGAGAATTTCATCTGATTTTTTATGTGAATGCACTATGTATGTGCGTGTTCCATCGATATAAAGTGTTTTTTTATTAATAATAATTATTGTTTTATATTGTACAAAAGATTCTTTTTTAGATAGCCCACGTCAGTCATTGAATTCAAATCAGATGTTTTTAAAATCAATTTTACTGAATATGGTTTTCTCGAATAATTCATTAGACTGAATTTCTGAGAATGTATAAATGATGAAGTATTTATCTATTCATGTTTATTAATCTCTTTCCTTATTAGAATTTCTTCTTGCCATTGCTCAAGCTTAGATCATGCTTAGACTATGTACTATAGATAACTAAAACTAGGTTTTGCGACCCAATTTTGGGCGCCAAAACATTTTTAAAGGTCTCAAGACTGCTTCTGACTCAGTAAAGCATATTTCGAAACATAGTGAAAAATACTTCTACACAGCCGTAATACAAATGACTTAAAAATAACCCATAGGTAGCTACGAAGATGAGAAAAATTTATTGTCAACTCAAATCCTAGAAGAATCTACGCCCATTGTTGCACTGTTCGTCGCCAATTTCTTCAGGGATTGATAAAATCATAAAATTAATTTGACAGGAACATAGCTCACTAATAACACGACGTGCCAGTCAACAAGTAATAGTTACACCGTGTTTAAAATGAGTTAATTCTATTTTTTTTTTTTTTTTTTTTTTTTCGTTGGGAACGTGCGAGCTTCATCATATTTTTCAATTAGTCTTTACCCAGTTAACCTCGTCTAATTCGACTGAATAGGTCGAAAATTCGCCATTGTGTTATTAAACTTTTGCATTAATAAACATTTCAAAATTACGATAATAATATAAAACGGAACATTCCGCACATGATCGAGGTAACAACTGCTTCGTATAATTTGTTAGAAAATAAAAGTACTGAGGTTGACTATCGAAATAAAATAACATATTTGTATTATTAAGAGCAGGCCCGTATCTGGGGGGGTGGGGTTTATGGTTCGGAGAGACACTCCCCCCCCCCTTTTCTAGCAAATCCCCCACTTTTCTGGCGAACCCGATCTTAAATTTCCCAAACAAGTCCTCCAACCCAACGAATGCACTGCAGACCCATCCTTTTCCATAAAGAAAAAAAAAAAAAAAAACACCCGAAAAACAAAAGGCAATATGTAAGAAAACAGAAGCATTATGATTTCATTTGGCCCTTTTTAAACCCTGAATTTAATTTTATCTTGTTTCACAATTCTAATCTTTTTATGTTCTTGTTTTATGTCGTTTCGTTTCCTTTTCATTGACACTGGGTAAAATAACGCATAGAGCTCAGGCATAGCACAGCATTATGTACTCTAGAATTGGAAGACCATTACCATTATTGAGCTTGTGGCAAGTAATAGGCCAAAGTTAAGCTGCATTCACACTGGATCTACCGAAATTTGGACCGCGTTTCCGATGCACTGAACGCCAGCGTCCCTTAATCCTTAGGATATTAATCCGACTTGTGGTAGGTTTGGTAGGCTTTCGGTCCTTGGGTAGCATCTACTATTCTAGTGTTTCAGCTTAAGGGCCTACGTATTAAAGTATTGTCACTGTCTTTAAGACTATAGACTTTATTCCATGTGTCCCGTGTGCAACAGTGTCCGTGTATTATGTGAAAACGAAGGATGTTGTATAGTCAGTAGGTGGACAAACCATCACCTTTATCCTACGTTTATTATTATATCCTAACCTAAAAAATCATATTTATCACTACACTTGGGGTTGTCACTGTCACAAATACTCAGATACTTGAGGTTAGTGATGCTCACAGAAATCGTCTGTATTTTACAGGAGTGAAAAATCATTTTTTTCAGTGAGTTGAATCTTATAAGCCTACAAATTGTATGTAGCCTATGTTTTGTGTTTTGATTAAAATGTTTTCTTTGCTTGTTTTTTCATTAATTTTTCTATTTATATTGTAAATGTAATATCTAATAATTTGTTTACAGTAAGTCTGCACTGTTATAAATATAATGTAAAATAAATAAATATATTAACAAAATATGTTATACTGTAACACAGTATCAAAAAGTAGTGCATTCAGCAGTGTTATATAAAAATTAATATAATTGTAACATAGCGGTGTTGATATCACATGTATTTTATTCTAGAATATTCTAGTATCAAATTGTGTTGCTCCCTTTATATACGTTTAAGCCTGCACT